TCGCTGTAAGACAAGCAATACATATATTAGGGAGAATATCAAATGGGCTTGCTGCTGAGCAATTCTGTAGCGCACCCTTGGACATAACGTACATAGCCGTTCTTAATAGCACTTTCCATAGAGATATGGGCAGCTTCTCAACTATTTTCAAATTCCAATGAATGTGTCAACTTGATAGTCTTAGAGTTGTTATAGGCATTTCAAATTTACAGACGCACATTATATGTACAAACATGCAAATTGAGCCGGCCATAAAACTGATTTCAGAGAATAAAGCTGCAGCTGCATCATTCCGATCTGGTCCATTATCGTAATGCCAGACTCAACCTCAGATGCTTCATGAATCTTGATGCTTTTACCTTTTGTTATGTACCTAAATGAATGTTATTATCGGGAAGTGGAATTGGATTCTTGGTTTTTTTTATTTTTTTTTATTTTTTATTTTTTTTTTTATCAAACACCGCCAAGCTCTGGCTGAATATAATGTGGATTTTGATTGAGGTTTGGCAGGAAAAGAGTGCAAGACTGTTACATATTTAAAATAATAGACAATTTGTAGCAATAGGTTTCGATAACTATCAGTTCTCGCCTCGTTAAAAACCATGCTCTTTTCGTAAATTATGCGGTAATCACAATAGTAGGAACATGAAAACGAAAACAGTCATGCAACCAAGATGGAAATGCCTGATATTAGTCTATGGCAAACGGTCCAAGATAACCTTTGGTAAACGTTTCCAAGGGACAAAGGCTATGTGAAGCGTTTAATTACGCTTTTAATTACGCGTTAATTTACTTCAACTTTTCTCAATGTTGTTGTTTTTAGAAAAGGGGAAAAAAATATAAACAATTTATTGACAAAGAGTGCAAAGCATCCAGATCTGTTGAAGCTTCAACAGATATGCACAATTAATATGAACAACACCATTTACATGTTGATTACACAGCATTGAGAGGAGCGCTATTCGACCTCGTAGAGATTTTTCTGTCTAGTATTCAACACATTCCACATTGGCCAATGGCTACACTTAGATGGCTTAACTTTGCAGTTCACGAATATACATTCATATATACAAAATAAAAAGTAAAAAAAAAATGTCAGCTCAAAAATGGAATATTTATTAGACAATTTTTATTTGAAAGTAAACGAGAGCCACTTCAAACCGAATTGAAATCGTTAGTCGATTTTTGGTAGACTTTTCTTCGCTAAATTTCTTCAACAAACATTTCACTTGAATGTGATGTTACCCCATTGCGTTGATTCATGAGAATTCATGAGAATTATTGGTGGAATTTGAAACTAGCAATAGATGCTGTGAAATGGTGAATGTTACTGAAGTCCAAAATGTCATCATAGAACATCAGGCTAATACCGATGATATTTTGTGTGTTAGCAATTTAAAAGACGAATAACCTGAGCTGTGTTTTTGACAGAATATTGAACGATGTTTTAACAAAGCAACAATATTGATATGCGGTCAAAGAGATTGACAAAAAAAATGTATTGAAACCAGGATTCTACAAGACAATCGAATACGGGAATTGAAATAAAGCATGCGCTTATTCAGCTAATGAACTTTGGCTCCTTTACCGATGAAAAGTTTAGCGACGTCTTTCTGATCTGAAAAATAATACAGATCAATGAAGGTAATCAAACAAATTTCTTATTTAGTGAAAATAAATATTCAACATTACTATTGTTAGTAGCCAATTGAAGAGGTGTCTTATTCCGATGATTCTTAGCATTAACATTGGCTCCTCTTTTGATGAGATGTTCAGCGACATGCTTGTGACCTGAAGAATAATTTAGATCAATGCTTTTCATCTTCAATCCAATTTCTTATTTAACGAAGACAATTACCTTTCTCAGCAGCTAAATGAAGAGGTGTTGCATTCAAATGATCTTCAAGATCAACATGGGCCCCGTTATCAATGAGGAGTTTAACGATATCTTTGTGACCTGAATACAGATTGATATAGATCGATGAATAGATCAAATCAATATTTCAAACAATTTTCATATTTAGTGAACATAAATATTCAACATTACCATTTTTCGCAGCTAAATGAAGAGGTGTCTCTTTCTCATTATCTTGAATATTAACATTGGGGTTATTCTTAATGAGAATTTCAGTGAATCCTTTGAGACCTTAAAAATAATTTAGACCGATAAAATAGGTTGAGAAAAACTTCTCTTTATGACATAAATGCTAAAAATTACCATTCTCAGCTGCTACATGCAGAAATGTCTTTCCCGTTGTGTCTATTTTGTTTGTTTAAAATTGGAAAATATAATCAGTGAAGTGAGTCCAAAGAAAATGTCTTATATCCGTGAGATGAATTTTTTCACGCACTCTTGGGTGTGTTCAATTCATCAATTTTAACATTTCAGAAAGCTCTACAGTGTACTTAAATCTTTTGAATTTACACAGATACGAAAAATTTCCAATAGGTGTCTCTTTTTCGGACAATATGACAATCCATCCATATTTTCGGACAACTTCACTCATATTGTCTCATTTT